GGGAAATGAAATATCGCGATATTTCAGTGTATCGATATTTTCTTACACCCCTAATAAATACTATGTGTTCGACTGACTAAATGTGAAATAAATAATACATAAATACCACTAAAAGTAAAATGAGAGTTGAATTCTGAAACGGGGTAGTCAGAGTTCTCTCACGTTGCGACAAGGAATTACTAAATACAAACCTATCACTCCTGTCCTTTCCTCTTTGCACCGGCTCCCGCTTCAGTTTACAATACAGTTTAAGCTGTTGTTATTTAGGGCTGGGTTAAAAAATCAATTTAATCGATCTGGATCAATTCTCATTCAAATATGGGAAAATCGATTCATAAGTCACAAGATCGATTTTTTTTTATTTTTCCCCGTGGGTTTTGTGTGCGATGAAGCTGCGTGTTTTCATGTTGTGTGTCACTCACTACTGGCTTACCGTAGGTTTACAGCCGACTGACGTTCAGTGCTAAGTTTTATTGAACTGAAGGTAACAGAAACATTACAAATATACAGTTTTCATACTCTCAAAAGAGTGGGCAGAAGTAAACACTTATATTATCCCACCTCTTCTCCTGTAACCTTATTCCATCACTTCTTAGTGATCAAGAAAATTATTCTTAGTTTCCTAAAAAACTAATGTATCAACAACTCTTTCTCTATCAATTCCTTTTTAGTTTAAACCCTTTGAAACGTGAGACAGTTTTGTTTCAATATTAAACTCCAATTCACAAGTTTGTCCTTAATGTTTATAATTTTACCAACGCACCAAGTTAGAATTAGTTTCTACTATTTGCAGAATTAGTTCCTTTGAGAATGTCTTCTATATCAAAATAAATGTGTTATACTGCATGATATCCTTAACTAATTTAAAGATCAATCAAACTGGATCGTGAATCGAATRGATTTGGGAAATCTGAATCAATACCCAGCCCTACTGTTTTTTGTTTTTAAAGCTTTGAATGGCCTTGCACCACCCTACATTTTAGATATTTTAAAAACCCATCAACCCAGCAGAGCTTTGTGGTCTGCTCGAGATGCCTCGCTCTAAGAGTGAGAAATGTGGGGACCGGCCTTTTTCTGTCGCTGCCCAACAGCGTGGAATGATCTTCCTTATGAGTTGCGTGCCATCTCRGACCTGGTTCTGTTTAAAGCTAAATTGAAGACCTGTTTACTTAAAAGGGCTTTTGGTGCTTAACTCTTAGCGTTTTATACCTTTTTGCTCTCGTGTTCTTAACTTGTACTGATTTACTGTGATTTGTTTTTTATATTTGTTTTATTTTGTGAAGCACCTTGGTCGATGCAGGGCATTGTTGTAAGGTGCTATATAAATAAAGTTTATTATGATATTATTATTACTACTGGAGGAGCATTCCCACTTCCCAGTACAACAGCGCTGCAGCAAAAGTAGCTAAAAGGAGATTTTTTTTACGTGACAAATTTGGCCGACTACTTTGAACCCTGTGCACCTCCTCCCTGTGGTGGGATGACTTCATTTAAATCAAATAATCAACATGCATTATGGGAAATGTAGTTTATGGTCAAAACTTGCTTTAAAGCAGCATACACTTGTTTGGAGTCTACTAAATCTGTGAAGCTCTTGTAGGCCACATAAAATGCTGTGGTGGGCCACGAGTTCGACACYTGGGTTAGAGGGTCTAGATTTACATTGTGTTTTTAACAGAGCATTTTATGTATATAACTGCATTTATTTTTTTATTATTTTTTATTTTATTTAAGAAACTGTCAGATTCTCACCATGATGCTGCAGAAATTCAACTTTCCAGCAATCTCTCTTCACTCCATGATGAAACAGGTGAGACTTAATACTTTATTTTTCTGTCCTAAATGTTTCATGTTCACCACGACACCAGCCATTTCAGCCACTTTTACTTTTTGCGTTCGTCCAGAAACAACGATTTGCAAACCTCGCCAAGTTTAAAGCCAGCGTCTATAAGATCCTGATCGCCACAGATGTAGCTTCCAGGTAAGAAATACTGATGAACTGTTGTGTTTTGGGCTTTTTTATATATATACAAGGTATATATATATAAAGAGGTTGTGATTATTTTTTCTAACCTTTTAGTTTGTTTTCTAACGTCTTCTAGAGGTTTGGATATTCCGACTGTTCAGGTGGTCATTAACCATAACACCCCGGGACTTCCAAAGAATTACATCCACAGAGTCGGACGGACAGCAAGAGCAGGTACCACCATCCTTCAGCAGCTTCCTGAAGGTAGTTTCTCACTGGGCTGCAGGGGCGGAGCCAGAGGCGTGGCGAATGTGGCGTTGAAAGWTTAGGGATTTAAAATCGCACCCAGTGAGACGCTACCTTCAAACAGAAACCTCAAAACTGACTGATCAGACATTAATACAGATTTACTGAAAACTTTGATCAAAACGGATTCTGATGCAGCTCCAACACACAAACAAATACCGTATTTATTCATGTATAATACGATCTCGAGTATAATATGATCATCATTTTTTGAGCTTACAAAGCATAAAAATCTATTTATCAATAACTCGTATATAATACTATCCCCCCACTTTATGGATGATTTTTAGGGTTAAATTTCTAGTATTATACATGAATAAATACAGTACTTTCTGTTTCTGCAGGGAGGAACGGCGTGTCGATCACGCTGGTGACGCAGTATGACATCCACCTGGTTCACTGCATTGAAGAGCAGACGAGTAAGTCAGGAGCTTCTTCAGAGACACTCTACTATGGCAGGCCATTTTAACATAAAATCGTCTTCAACACACTTGCATTCAAGATATCTGTAATTGATTTATGACTATACATATTGGTTAATTAAGATATCCCTAATTTTATTTTGACTAGAATAAAATTCAGGCTCCAATAAAATATATCTTAAATGTATTTGTAGATATCAGATACGTAAGATTTAACTAGTGCAATTTAAATTGCAGATATCTTGAAAGCAAATATAACTAATTTTGACAAGTCAGATTTCTTTCTAAGACATCTCTAAATGAATTCAAGATATCTTGAATAATTATATTGACTAGTCAAAACGTCAGATTTATGTAGCATTTTGGCGGAAAGTTTATAAGCTGTTCCAGCCTTCCCTTAATTTGCTGTTCAGAGTCTGCAGTGTCGAGTCAGTCCAACTCCAGTTCTCTTGTTTTTGACACGATGCAATCAAAGATAACTTGGATTGTTCTTTTGACTAGTCAGAATATAAATAGTTATCTTAAATTACCATTCAGGATTGTTCCTAGTCAAAACTCATTTTTTAGAGATCTAGAATACAGATGGTTGGATGAAGCCAACTTCATGTTAAAATGTCCTGCCATACGTCTGCAGGTTTTACTGACTGAAGTCTGTTTTAATATTAATAATAATTCATACAAAAGAAATACAAAAAAATTAGCCTTTAATAAAAAAAATTTACATCGGCCGTTAAACTCCTGTTGGTTGTTTTTGGTCCAATTGTTCTCTCTGCCTTAACGCAGACTTTAGTTACTCAAACTGGCCTGTTGTTCCTGCAGAGACCAAGCTGAAGGAATATCCCATTGAGGAGAAAGAAGTCCTGAAGATCCTCACGCAGGTCAATGTGACCCGGCGGGAGTGTGAGATTGTACGTATCTGTGTCGTTTTGGTCAAAAACATGTGATCCTGTTTATCAGACAGCAAAGTCTGACCAACAAGAGTTACTTCACTCGTCTTTTGTGTTGCAGAGACTTGAATCCACTGACTTTGATGAGAAAAAGGAGATTAACAAAAGGAAACAGCTGATCCTGGAGGGGAAGGCGAGTACATTATATTTTGTGTTACAATAAGGGCTTTAGTCCAGGTTTGAATTCCACAAACTATTTTAGATAAAATATTATCTTTTTTTTTTTTTGCAAAGGGTGGCACAGGGGTTTGGCATTAAATATTCAAGATGGCCGCCACTGCTAACTTATTGAGTTAAAACTTAGTGCGGTGGGAGCTGTGATCAACATATTTCAGTCAAATAGTAAATTTAATGTCAGCTTTAACGTTAACGTTTAACAAAAACTGGTTCTTAGTTTTTTTTTTTTATTCCTCACACACCTCTACACCAGACAAATATTTACCTTTTTTTCCCCTTGCTCTAACTCCTCATCTTTAAAATGACACATGCAATCCACACCCCACTTGTCAATCATTCAGGGGTGGCCAATCAGGCAATAGAGTTGGCGCTTGCCTCCCCTCTGCAAGGACGAATAAAAGTATCTTTGCTGTTTTTATTTTTTTTGTTTTGTTTTGTTTTTTAAGGATCCAGACCTGGAGGCCAAGAGGAAAGCTGAGCTGGAGAAGATCAGGAGGCAAAAGAAGAAGTTCAAACAGAAAATCCAGGAGAACATTCAGAGACAGAAACACAAACAAGTGAAAAAGAAAATAATGAAGAAAAAACATTCAGAAAAAAGCTGAGGCGGCGTCTTCGTGAAACCTGCCTCGTGTGTGTGTGTGTGTGTGTGTGTTTTGAAAGTTTAGTTTACCTGATGCCTCTGCAAATAAATCTTGACACAAACAGCTCAAATTCACCACTTTTATTGAGTTGACAGGGGAACCACCATCTTGTGAAAATGATAACGCTTCAAATATGTATTTACATCATACTGAGGCCCCAGTTAGTCTATCGGTTTAACCTCTGTTTTATGATAGAATCGGTGTGTAACTGAATCACTTCTAAAATGACCACTGCACGGTCGATTGCGGCTCAGATGATGGAGGAAAACAAACAAACAAAAAAAAAAAAACATTAGGGCAGCATTTCTTTTTAAAGCTATAAACATATTAGGACTTAAGCAGAGCAGATTGATATGTTAAAATAACTTATAGCTCAAAGGTATGGCAACAAGCAGGACTACAGTAAATAATTCTGAACGACTACTTTGGGAGCGTGATTGTCACACGTCTGCAGAAATGAGGAGCGGTGGTGAAACTACATTCTGACCATGTTCAGAAAAAGTTTTACCAAAACTGCGATCGCTCGGACAGTTTGAGGGGAAACGCCGAAGTCCTGGTGACGGCAGGAAAGGGCCTTGGCCTCGTTCCCGCTGCCGGCGGCGTGTTTGCTACAAACGACGAGTTTTAGTAAACCTACACAAAACACTCAACTGAACATGAAGCACAAAAGCAGCAAATCATTTAGCATCTGCAAAAATCTACATCTACTCAGTTCAGGTTCACACAATTCTAGGGAAAGGTTTAACATTTTAAGAGGAAATCTAAAAAAAAAGAGAAAGAAAAATACATAAAGCAGGCAAAACAGCTTTGCACAAATCAAACATCCACTGAAGGTAAAATAAAATCTACCAGCCTGTCTTCACTCCACAGAGAAGGAAGGTGGCTTTTTGTCACAAACAACCCCGACTCTTAAACTGAATGATGGAATCATCACACGGCCCAGTTTTTTTTAATTAAATAGATAAAACAAAGTCCTTTTTTTCTGTGGGTTTCTTCAGCCCTCTTGTTGCTTAAAAGAATTATTTGCTGGTAGTATGACTCGACTACATTCACAGCTGCGCTGCAGCCGTCTGATCTGAAGGTTGAACGGTTTTAGGCACCGATTCTTGGTTCTCGCTCATCTCGCCACCGTCTGATCGGTTTTCTAATCCACACAGGAACCAAAAAGGGTCTTTCGGGCTGTGGTGATTTTTCTTTTTCCCATTTGGAGTAACACTTTGAATACAATTTTCCTGACTGGTCTTGGTACAAATATCCAACTTAAGCATACTTCTGTTTGGATGTAAAGTTCAAAGGCCACAGATTTGCTTGTTAATTCAACTTCTTTCCCTCTCTTCCTCAGCCACCTTCCTTTTCTACTTCTGTGTGGATTGATTGCCTCGACATCCTGTCGGCCTCGTCTACTGACTTTTTTTGTCCCGCCTCTTTAGTTACCTTCGACCACCTCAAGCAGGGATTTGTTAGATGGGTGTGGATCGTCCACAATCCCCTGAGGAATCACTCAACGCAAAGCATTCAAGCATTTGCCAATCTAAGCGTACACAGAGTGTTTCTTAAAGAAAAAAGAAAAGAAAAAAAATCGGTCATCTGGTCATGAATCACAGCAAACGACAACCCCTGCTTTCATGAGATTACATAAAAAAAAAGCCTTAGCTGAAACTTCAAATGACACCAAGCTGAATATTCAATGCTGGTCAAGTTTGATCGTTTCACTGACTTTTTTTTGTTGAGTTTTTTTTAATTATTATTATTTTTTATTTTTTTGCAATTTTGTGCTCTGTGGTAAGAAAGGTATTCAGAGAAGAAAAAACCGTCCCATCACGACCACGACATTGGTGGGTTTCGCGTGGGATTTATGCTAGGAAAAAACAGTCTGAAATCCACGCGTCAGTTCCACGGCTGACGTGCGGTTGAAACCATCCCATTAAAGACCTTGTGAAGGAGCCGGCAGTTCTCAAGGCAAATGAAAGGTATTTCAACATCAGACTCGAGCACAGAGACCAGTGCTTTTATTTCCTCTCTGAGAGGGCGTGTCCACTGCTGCTTCCTTCAGAGGCTGCCGAGGCGTTCGGGCCCACTAGAAGAATATCCTCCTGCGATGAACCGAATTTTAAGAGTCTGGGAAATACAAGTTGATGAACAACCAACTTTCCAGCATGGGGGATGTATTTTATGTGTGTGCTGCCTGTCTTGAAAGCTTTCTGCTACCACATCTGTCCAGATTTGGAGAATGAGTTCTTCAAATTCCAACTTGGGAAGCTTCGATCCTTAACTGGAGCGTTCCCAGAAGCCGTGGATGTGAAGGTGTTGGGTGGGTTGTTTGGGGAAGGGGGGGCTGAACCTCTTTTGGATTCTCGTGAGAGACTGTTGATCTCTCCTCTGTTTCCCTCAGCAGCCTGACCAGACGCCGCCACTTTCTCGACTTTACCTCCTTCACTATGCACGGGCATCGGTTCCTGCCTCTCGCTTGTTCACGCGGCCTCTTTCCATCTCCCTGCCCATCTGTCAGTGCGCTCCTCCTCCGCTTCTTCTACACTCCTTTTTCTCTCGCTGGTCGTTGGTTTGGTTTCGCTATCCCGTCGCTTTCACTTGGTGGTGCTTCGGATGTAGCAGAGGAAAACAGGTATCCATTTTATGTTTTTATTATTTCCCAGATTTAAAAAGCTGACGAACTAAGCTCAGCTCAAGCCTAGCTCCCTTCTTTCAGGCAACCTGGCAGACACAGAACAGGCGACCTTCACTCAGTGCTTCAACAAGCCGTCTTTATGAAACCAATGAGGCTGAGTGGACTTACACTTTAGTACTGTGACAGTCCGGTCACCCCGCCATGCTGGTACGCACGTTCACCCTGGTATGTGGAGTCCTGGGACAAAGCCACGTCGATTTGGGACTTGAACTCGTCGCCGAGATAGCTGTCCTGGAGAACATGATTACAGACACATCTTTAGACACACAAGAATCCTTCTGATCTACTTCACTTTGCTGTTGTAAATCTCTTTTACACATTTCATTTATAATTAAATATGCATAAAATAACGCAGCCTCAAAGTTCTGATTTAGAAGTTTATCGTGATTTAAAGGCAACGTCTTTGAATGATATTGGTTTATAAAGCTAAAATTACATAAAATATTCTCATTAGGGCTGAAACGATTCCTTGAGTAATTAAGAGCACAACAACTGCTAAAAATCCTTGAAGCAAATTATCTGCCCTGAAGCTTTGTTCAAAATAAATACAGTTAAATGATTCAGCACACTTTTGTCTGGCCAGAATGGATTTGTGTTGAACAACGCTAACGCTTCAGCTAATGGTTACACTGTTAATGCTAAGTGCTACGTTTAGCTACGGAGAGAGACAAAGTCTCAAAAAAGAAGAAGCCAGAAAACGACAAACTGTCAAAAAAGTGGGAACATTTTAAACAAAAAAATGAAAAGACAACACAGCACAGTTCACGCGCTGCACTTCCTAAATGCTGCAGCACCAGAACAGAAAACACCCGCTGCACACATCGAACTCGTCCAGAGTTTACAACAGGTGTCGCTCAGTTTGCAAAACATGTTTAATCTGTGATAATCTGTCATGTTGCAGATGTACACGGAAGTATATCTTGGCTAACGTTTCATGTACTGACTAATCATAAATAATACCCTGCCAGGTAGCCACTAACAGTAAGCTGTGTGATAAAAACAACTATAATACTTACTGTGAGTGTCAAATAAAGATAAAAGCACAGCAACAGATTGATGGCAGCTGAAACACATTTGTTGCCATTCTTCACAATATTTAATAATTATATTGTCATAAAATAAACTTAAAGAACCTGAACTTTTTGTTAGTGTGATTACTCGATTAATCTACAGAATAATCAAAAGAATACTGGATTACTAAAATAAAACTAGAAGTATTTAATTTCTCTATTCTGTGAATGAGAAGGTGTGTTACCTGGGACAGCTCTGGCTGAGAGAGGCCAGGCTGGCTCATCTGAGAGGGCTGACTCATGGAGATGTAGCCCTGAGTCAGTGGCCCCTGAGAGAAGGGCTGGGAGGCCCCGTCCTGGCTGGCCTGGCTGTTTGGTCCATTGCCCTGACTGGCGCCCTGGTTTCCGGAACCACGGACCCTCTGTCTCCCGCCACGCCCTGGTTTCCCCTTCATCGCACCACGGCCTTGTTTGAAGTGAAAGGAGAAAAAAATAAATCACTGAACTGTACGTCTGGAAACTGCAACAGTAAAGTCAGACTAAACTGTTCTAAACAATTTCAATGTATTTATTAACACTGAGCCTTTGTGGTGTAATTTATCACGTCTTACCAGCTCRACAGTGATTTCCGTAAACTTAACATTAGCGTACCTGCGGCAGGACCGTTGGTCTGACCCAAGTAGCTGGGTGGAGGCACCGGGGGCATCACCAGGTTGAAGGGCAAAGGGATATTCATGGCAGCCATGTGACCAGGACCGGCTCCGATCATCCCGATCTGGTCGTGTGTTTGGAAGTACATGTTGGATGGACGTCCAGCTGAGAGGGGTTTGGAAATAAGATGGAAATTTACTAAATATTAAATACAACTGTGGAAAAAGATATACGTACTGATCAGGGTTCCTACAGTTTGAGMGAAGCTAAGTTTAAGACTTTTTAAGACCTCTTTAATGCCACTTGAAATTAAATTTAAGACCAATATCACAATAAACACAAATGGATAAAAAAAGGCGACAATTTTAGCCAAATGTTTATTTTAATACAAAACAACTAGCTGCGAGGGGCATTCAATAAATTATTAAAAACGTCAAATAAATGTTACCAATTCTTTTAATATTTGAGAGAAATTACAATCGTCCTACTTACGTGTCAACATTTTTAAGACCCCTGAAAGATTGATTTAAGACTTTTTAAAGCTAATTAAGGCCTTATTTTTGGACTGATAAATTCAATGCCTTTTAAGACTTTTTTAGGATCTGCGGGAACCCTGACTGACATTGTAGATTAAAAAAAGGGAAAATATAAATAAATACCAGTACTGCTGCGGTCATACGCTGAGCCAGGGATGAGAGCCTCACGGGCATCGTACATGGCAGTACTCATGAAGCGCCCCCCCTGAAAAACAACGGTCACCATGTTAAGCAGCCTGGCTTGAGTAACGGTGATGACTTTAAAAACATATATTTATGTTTTACTGACYGGGTTGATGGTGTTGACCAGTTTGCGGGGCTTGCTGAACTGCATGAGGCTCTCCCGCAGGTTGTTGAGGGGTCCCTCCACGAGGACCTTCTGCTCCTTGTAGTAGTTCAGCAGGTTGTTCCACAGCGGCTGCTTGGAGAGGGCTTTGGGGTTCCCCACGATGATCACCCCATACCTTCACGTCCAAAAAAGCAATGAGTTAATGATGTGATGAATTTATTAGGAATGACCTCAGTGTTGAGCGTTTTGTATGGTTTTACTTGGCTCTGGTCAGCGCCACGTTGAGACGACGAGGGTCGTTCAGGAAGCCGATGCCCTGGTGCTCGTTGGCGCGGACACAAGACAGGATGATGAAGTCCTTCTCTCTGCCCTGGAAGGCGTCCACGCTGGCGATTTCTACTTGCTATGACAAAAACAAAACAGGCACTCATAAGGATGTTTTGATTGTGGGGTAGGTTTTATTGCGGAGCAGGATCAGATGATCAGGGGTACCTGGTAGAGTTTGGTGTGAAGCGAGCCACTGAACTGCATGTACTGGACCAGGTAGGAGCGCTGACCCTCATACGGGGTGATGATGCCGATCTGATCAGGTTTGGCTCCTGCTTTCAGCAACCTGGTGGTGATTTTCTCCACGTTGGCAGCCTCAGTCCTTAAAAACATCAGCGTTAGCTCAACTTTGTTCACTTTATGAAAACAAATACCGTATTTTCCAGGCTATAAATCACAATTTTATTCATAATTCAGCTAATCCTGCGACTTCTAATCAGGTGTGATTTATTGTTTTCTTTCTCTTTTAATGACGCATTTTTTTGACTGATGCTTTTAGTTCATATCGACTGATATGAACAAAGAAGTAAATGTTTCCCTCTGTAGCCATGAGAGGGCGATCTAGGCTTGTGACAACTATGGTTTCTATTGTTTCTGTAGCCTACAGGTTAAAAAAAAAAGAGCAGCAGATAAAGTTTGGAGTGAATGAGAAACTTTTGAGGGACAGGTGAAAAGCAGAGGTTAATCTTACTGCCCTAAGGAAAATGTAGAAAGCTGATCACATGATGTGGGAGGAGATTGGTGAACTTTATGATAACTTGCTTGTTGGAATGTATTTTTGATTTATTTGCTATACAATAAGGGACTACATCAACCTTGAAGGAAAAGTACTGCAGATTGTACRGGGCCAACCAGCAGTACGACACTAATGACAAGAGGGCAGGATGGCACAGAGGACTGTAAGCAGATGGTAGCTTGTTGTTTAGTTGATCTAGTGTGGAAAAATAAAATGTTAGTCGCTGCAAACGATTCACAAAGTTAATCCCATCTGTGTCATCTGGCTATGTTAATTAAGACTATTCCCAGGAGATACGTTCTGTGTGTTACTGTATTATTCCAGATTAAATGCCTGTTCTGATGCGACATCAGGTGCAACTTGTWTTTTTATCTCTTGCTTCATGATGCATTTTTATGACTGATATGACTTACACTTCAGAAATTATAGTTTATTTAAAATCCACACTTTAAGCAAATGTTTTTGTTCTCCGGCTCAATGCCTAAGATTCCTGTTCATCCTCTTTATGGATAAACCTGCCAGCCTCAATTACTCATTTCCTGAAAAAGGACCTTACATTCTCATGTATGAAATTTAACTTAAAAAAAAATCAAGAAAGTGTTTTCTTTCACCTGTTGAGGTACGAAGTTCCAGAACTGGCAATTTCCTCTTGACCCTGAGTCACATAGAAGAACATGGGCTTATCAGGCTGAGGCCACTGGAAGTCGAAGCCTTTCTTGATGCGATCAGCTGGAAGAAACAAGACAAGATTTTTCATTTGCATCTTTTACGTAAAAAAGGACAAGAAAACCAATCTGTCCGCCCGTCGAACCTGCGGTGACACCGTTCTGCAGGGAGCCCTCGTAGAAGATGTTGGAGGGGAAGGCACTGAGAGCCGGGTGCATGCGGTACTGGACCTGCAGGCGGATTGGCCGGATTCCCAGGACCACCAGCCGTTCAAACAGAGACTGAGACAGACCCGCCTTGGCTGCCTTCTTACACATCACCACGGGTCCGAGCTGGCAGTGGTCGCCAACAAGAATAAGCTAAAAGACGACAATGAATAAACGAGTTACTTTAACAAAATTTGTCAAAGGTTCATAAAACATATTTGACAAAGCTCTAAAAAAAACAACTAGAGCACATAACTGAAGCCACAAATAATAATAAAGATTAATGCTCTCATCCACATATTTAATGAGAAACATACAAATGATACATTAGCTGTTCTACATTTAACCAGCTCTTAGTATTGATTTAGACCGTATGTGTGCATTTTGGTACCTGTTTCGCCCCCAGAACCACCGGCACCATACACTCAGGCTCAGTGGCCTGGGTGCTCTCGTCAATCAGGATGGAACGAAACTGCATCTTGGCCAGACGGGGATCTCCAGCTCCAACACAGGTGCAGCAAATCACATCGGCGTTCTGAACGAAGAGAGCGACGAGTGTCAAATCAGTCTACAAGTTTCTTAAGAGGTTTAATGATGGATTTTTCTTTTTTTATCCTCCAAAACACAAGAAAATCAACAGTTTTCTGTCTGTTTTTTTTTTTTTTATCAACTCCACCGTCCCAGTCAGCTTTGTCAACTTCTGGGTATTGATTTGTTTTTGACACATCGATAGCATCAATAAGAGTGGAAGTCATTAGCATAACAGAAGCAAACAAAATCTCCAGGCACTTTTTTTTCTTCCCACACACAAAATCAGAAATATTACCTAATTTTTGTACCAGCAGGGTAGCTGCTACACGATGTCAGATTCAAATGAGCCTTTTTATTTCTTGTTTTTCTACTAAATACAACTTCTTGGGGTTGTGGCTGCACAACTTTACTGCTTCTGTTCTGAGTTTGTGTAAAAACAACTAATGTAAGAACTTTGCTACAAATAAAATTAGGCTAAACTCGAAGTCAACACTGCTGTGTTTCCTGTGCTTTAGAGGACTAAAAAAAACCCAAAAAAACATCAACACATTTTTATTACTGGTTACAGTAAAACTCCAGAGCCTCTCTTTACCATGAGCAGCTCCCTCTCAGCAGTGCGCTTCAAAGCCCTGTAGCGTTTCTCGTCAGCAGAGGACAGCTCGCCGGTCTCGTCCTTCAGCTGCTGCAGCTTCTGAAGCTCCGGCATACTACAGAGACCAAAGACAGCTGTTGAAATCTATCAGAGCCACATTATGGAAATTCGACTTGCTCACAGGAGCCATAACATTTATTGCTCACTTGTAACTGCTTTGATTAGAAAATGTGACTGTTTTGTGTCTAAAAAGCAACAATCAAGTAAGAGTGTTAAAATCCTGAGATTTTTCGAACTTTCACCACTAAAATTTAAAGGGATCCACGATTAGTTGTAACATTAGACTTTGTCTGATAAACATTTAACTGTAAAATAAAGACTGTAAAAATACTGTAGGATGTTTAGTTTTTATAATTTTTAAACCTAATTCTAAAAAATATATTTAACATGGACTGAGCCATTTTATTTACATGCAAAGCATTCTGGGTTAATGATGACGTGGATAGGTCCTCGGTGCGAGGCTGCTAGCGAGCTATATCCACCCTGAAGGTTAATCTTGGACAATATCTGATGATCGACTCTTAAATGAAACCAGAGAGCGTTGACAGAGAGGAGAAGGTAGAAATGACTCAGCCTGGAACTGAAAATATGGATGGAGGACAACAGTTTAGCTTGTTAGTTTGTAGCGCTAGCGCCAAGCTAATACATATAAGGCAATATAGCGTAGGCGCTAAAGCTAACAGGCTAAGCTGAGGTTCTTCTTCCATGAAGCAGCTCTGTTGTCCTCCATCCATATTTTCAGTTCCAGGCTGAGTCATTTCTACCTTCTCCTCTCTGTCAACGCTCTCTGATTTCATTAAAAGAGTCGATCTTCAGATATTGTCCAAGATTAACCTTCAGGGTGGATATAGCTCACTAGCAGCCTCACAACGATGACCTATCCACGTCATCATTTACCCAGAATGCTTTGCGTGTAAATAAAATTGCTCCGTCCGTGTTAAAATATATTTTTAAAAATTTACAAAACTAAACAGCCTACAGTATTTTTACAGTCTTTATTTTACAGTTAAAATATGTTTATCACACATAGTTAAATYTTACAACTAATCGTGGATCCCTTTAATTATAAAAAAGTAATTTGAGAAGCATTCTAGAAAAAACAGCACATTTTGATATTAAARTCAGCCACTGACCTGTCCATGTTGCTGATCTGGTTGTGCAGAGCCAGAAAAGACACCGGTGACTCGATGGCTTCGCGGCTCTTGGCGCACAGCCTGACTACCTTCAGGCCGGTCTTGTCAATCTTCTCAGTCAACTGGTCCACAGCTATGTTACTGGGAGCACACACCAGAACTGGCCTGCAAGACAAACACGCAGAATAAAGGCGGGAAAAAATGCATTGGGCCGTATTTTAAACAATGTAAAAGTACTTTGAATTWAAAAAAAATCTTCGTCTCACCCATTGCCCTGTCGGGACAGGTGATAAACGATTGTAGCTGAYGTGACGGTCTTCCCGGTGCCAGGAGGACCCTGGATCAGACTGAGGGGCCTCTGCAGCACAGTTTTTACAGCGTACACCTGAAGACATGGAGAAAGAGGGAAAACCAGTTCATCACATCTTATCGGGGTTATTTATATAAAAGGAAATGATGAGAAGTATCGAAGTTTATTCTGCTCTTGAGTCTGACCTGTGAGTGATTAAGGTCAGGCAGACCCGGGGCAGTGAAGCGCTTTGGCAGCTGGCACTTGATGGTGACGTCCTCGACCTCGTGGCCCAGAAGTTTGTGGTAAATGTAGCCGGACACGGAGGTCTCATCGACAGCAAAAGTTTTCAGGGCGCTCTGCATCCTGTAGGGACACAAACATTACTTTTACCAAACTAACATGCTGACATTTTCATTTATTTAGTTAAAAATCCTGTCAATAAACATTAAAAAATGTAGTAAATCATAAAAATATAACATCATAATTGCTTTTGAAAGAAATCAGAGCATTATGATTTTAGCCCACCTGTCAAAAGAAGTGGARTTCCAAACAAAGTCCACCTGGAAGTTGTGAGGGATTTCCACGGGTGCTCCCACGCTGCTCCGCAACTCTATAGCAATTTCATCCCCGTAGTCTTTAAACACAAACGGTTAAGGAAGCCCAAGCTTATCCTAGAAGTAATTCTAAAACAATAAATTATCCAGGAGTTGTGGACAACTTGTATGCAACACCTCTTAAAGGATACTGTCTGGTACTTTGATGACGTGACCAATGCCCTTCCACAGTGGAGCCAAGTCTCCCTTGTAGCGCAGGCAGATTTCATCACCCTGCATCAGACGCATATCTGAAAGCAACACAAACAAGTTAGAAGCTTTTAATGCTAGAACCGGACGAATTATTATTTTTTATTACCTACGATACCCAACTATAAAKTAAAAAAATAAGACTAAAACAGAATCACGCAGACATGCCACCAAACGACGCGGGAATGAGGGAGGCTGCATGCAATTCTGATGGCTGGAGGGAGGAGGGGAGGAGCTACACCTGCATCACAGAACCACTGGGAGGAAAAAAAAGCTTAGAAAATTACCACCTGAATCCGTCTTGGGCAGAGTGAAATAGGCAATCCGCTTTTTGTTCAGGCCCAGGTCCCACCTGACTGTTATGTTGTCTTGAGTCTGGGAGAAAAAAAACACATGAAAAATTGCCATTATAAATTCAAAGGTACAGTTTATTAACGATTGCATTAATGGAACTCTGTAAGTTTCATTYAAACAAAAGAACATACAGTAGGAAAGTGCCTTTAATTCAGATTTTAGCTGTAATAACAACAGCTATAAATGATTCATTAAACACAGATTTCGTGTCTTTGTACCTGTGACTCTTTAAGCTTTTTGTCATAGTCAGCCTCCAGTTTGACCAATGGCCCAAAAATGTTTTGGTACTGATAAGCATCCTCGTAGCGCAGCAGCACGTGCTGGGGCTCCTCGTCCACGCCAGGTTTCTCCAGGTCTTCCAGGGTAGCGCTGGGATTGTCCTGAGAGAACGAAAACAACACCAGATCAGCTTCTTAAACTCAGAAATCACACTTCCTGCGCTGACAGGCGCCTCTAAGCGGACAGCAGCTCTTTTTCAGACTCGTTGAGGTTTAAAACACGTCTCAGCCCCACAAAAAGAAGAGATTTCGTGTACCTTCCAGAGTTCCTCRAGCTTATTGATCTGCTGGGCAGTGATCTGACGAGCTCGCAGCTGCTCTTGCTCTGATGGGATCTTCACCAGCCAGGACAAAAAGCAGCGATCCTGGATGAGTGGCTGCCACTGCGAGCTGTCCCAGTTGATGTCCTTCAGGCTGCTCTGGCTGGCACACGGCTGCCTGCGTTCAAACAGACAACAAAGACAATGTAACAACATCGTTTACACATCAGTGAGTACACAGAAGCTGATTTTTTTTATTACATCCAACTGTAATAGTTAGTCCAATCGCAACAACTTTCATCACATTATCTGACATTTAATTACATCAGTTTTGTCATTTTAAATAGTCAACTGTACTTCACAGATATTTTGTAACCCACTTTTCTTATAGGWTTTGCCTCATAAGCAAGACTGAACTGAGATCTGCTACTGAAATAGGTTGCTTTGCTAATTTAAACTATTATTAGCTGTCCATTTCTCTCAGGGGATAAATAACTTATCGTTTTATTCTATTTTGCGAGAAACTCAAAATCAACATTTTGATTCGGAGGACACGCCACCATTCATGGGGCTAAAATCTAAAAATGCCTTAAATAAACATGACAGTAAACTTTTCTTTTCAAAGTAGGAATCTAAACATTTAAATTCAGATGATCAGTGTTGTCGTATGAACGTTTTGACAGGAAAAAAATATTACAAAACCCAATCATTGAGCAAACATTTCTGCTTTTCCCACTTACCTGCAAAGCAGCACCACCACAGAATCAGCTTTAGCRGGGATGAAGCCCAGGAGGAACACGTTGCGACATCCACAGTTGTAGCACTCCAGCACAGTTTCACCGAGCGGTCCATCTTTATGCAGTGTCACCTCTTTGCATTTGGCCCTCACCATGTGGTTCACAATGTGGCTGGAAGTCAAATACTTACAATGATACAACTGATAAAATGATTGAATATTCAAAAAGCTATTTTGCAGGAATAATAGTTTGCAAATCATATCGTCACACTTGACATAATTAAAAAAAATGCTGAAGCTAAAGGTTACAAACCTGCCAGATGTGTTGCCACGGCCATTACAGAACCACTTCTTGCTGGTGTTACAGTACACCACACATGCCGGGTCATGGATACCACAGTAGCTGCAAAACCAAAAAGCATTTCAGATAATGCAGTAATTACAAAGAACATATATTTTTCACTCTGATTACAGGCTTAGAGCACACAATATAAAGTATGAAAGAAGTTTGCCAATGTCCAAATAGCATTATTTGCAGGAATGTAGAGTAAATTTGGAATTAAATCACCTCTTTGTACCTATCAAACTCAGTGTCAAAAACTGACCTTTTTATTTAAACATAGTGTGGGTTTTGCACTTCTATATTTGCTCATATCCCAGTGGTTTACATAAAGATCAGTACAGTATAGGATAGGCCATTAAGAATAAAAGTCTGAAAAGCTATTCATCCAAACTGATTTGGCAACAAATAAGACAGTAGATTGATGTGGTTTGAGCAGGAATTATTTTTAAGGATTTTGACATGAACTGATCATAAAACTAGTGTTGGTGATGGTAAACTATTGTGACTGACACACAGGACAGAAACGAATAACGAGTTTTCCATTGATTACACACGGGGTTTTTTTGTGTGTGTGTGTGTGTGTGTGCAAGAGGTAACTGTGGTATAAAAATAGCTGTAAACAAAATATTATGTAATGACAGGTCCATTGCACATAATGCTGTAAATGAGATGCACATATGCTGTTCCAGTTTGTCAGATAGTACCTGCATGCGTGTACAGGAAGGTCTTTGGTGTAATACGTGTCTTCTTCATCCTCCTCGAAGTTCAGTTCGCCCAACAACTGGCTGGTTTTGGCCACGGGGTCATCCACTCCTCCGTTGTGAAGACCTTCATCTGGACCATTCACCTGTAGCACAGTAACGATCTTTTACTAAACACACTGACGATGCTAACTGTGATGCTAACGGCTATGATGCACCGTGCGGAAAAGCCAGTTAATAACAYGTCGAAAGAAWGACCGTGTTTACAAATTATTCTGTCTTTGCCGCCCAGTGAGTCTGGTTTGAATCGCAAAGGTAAAAAAAGAYCAAACGTGTCGAGGCAGTTAACGGTCTTCTAACCGAGCTAGCACGGTGCTATAAGTGAGGCTAAATTTAATAAGAGCGGGCTAACTAGGAGCTAACTCTTGCTAACGTCATTACCGCGCGTTCATGAGAGATTGAAAGCGTCAAACCTGGCTGTCCAGCTGGCTCTGTGTCTGGCCTTGAGTTTGGGTTTGACTAGGAAGCGTGAAGTCGGTGAAGTCGTACTCGGAGCCCTGGGTGTCCGCTCCGAGCAGCTCGGCTTCCTCGGTGTCCAAGAAGGTGAGGGTTTGGGAGCTCGGCCCGTACGCCTCCACACTCATTTTCCGACCCTTAACTTTCGCTTTACTCGGCGCTTTCAGCAGCTGTATGAAGACAACTAAAATCCACACCGTGRTTATTTGTCGATATATATATCTTAAAGAGCGTCGTCAAGAGACTGAAATTAAATACAAACAATAAAAAAAATGGAACCGATCAGAACCTCGAAAGCTAATGCAGGTCCAACAGCAGTTAGCGACGGTGACGGACTTCCCTGCGCCGCGCGACGTGTGACGTCGCTGGAGGCTGGACGGCACAGATAGGCTAAAAATGAGGAGTGCTCACTTTGTTTTTTTTTTTGTTTGTTTGTTTTGTTTTTTGGATTTGTTGGTTTTGATTTTGTTTTTAATGTCAAATCTTAGCATGTTTTTCCCCCCTTTAGGTCTGCAACTGTATTAGAACATATTATTTAGGATGTTAAATAATCTTCTGTTGTTTTTCATAATGAGACATCAGAATAACTAAAGCATACATATTTAAGCCTTCAAATGTGTTCAGATGTCACACTGGAATAATTAAGATCCAGTCTAATCCAATGACCTAAAATTTTTAACTTTTTCACATTTGACCCACTAAATAACAGTGACAAATATTTGCGAACCCTGACAATAATTTTATCYATCACTGTGTACAGACATTGCTAAGTAAGTCGGTTAATAAAAGCATAATGACAACACAAACATCCTCCACTACTATGACATTATTTCCTAAATCTGTTTAAGACTACTGGTTTTATTTGTTGTCACACTTATGACAAAAAAATGTAATTATTAGATCTCTGGTATTATCTCAAGAACTTCTTTGTGTTTCACAGTCCACAATGGAGTCTAGACCCTAACTTTGAAAACTTATCATAGGTTCTCTACATTATGCTTACATAATATAGTGTTTAAATAAAGACACAATATGTTCAGTAGAAGCAATAAGTTGCTTCAGTGTAACAGAACATTAATTAAACTGTTATAAATCCATACTGAAAATTCATATCTCTGTGAATGAAAGTGCAGAACTACAAGACCAAACATACTCGTGACATGTAATCATTTAGTTTTCTTTATTTCAAAGCCTTTCATTTACAGAGCGAGATTACGACTGTTACAGTGCTTTGTTACTGACACGGAAAGACACTCCCTCGATACACGAACCCACGATAAATCACAGAGTCATGATGTAGGTGTACGACAGAGCACACACCAAGATAGAAAAGTATTTGTGAGGTAGCCACACGTATGAATGGACAGCATCGAAAAATACATCTTAGAATCGACCCGGTGGGAATTAATAAGGCCTTTTCAGGACACACATGAACAACAGCAAGGCACAGGAGAGGGTCGGCGGGGTGGGGGGGGTGGTCACCTCATAGGTAAACTTATGCAAGACAGCTTCTCAACAACCCATTCGGCACTCATAAAGCCACACCGGTCAGACTTCACAAACTCAGTCAGAAAGTGTGCCTCCGGGTTCAAAAACTCGTAACACTTTGAAACRGAACAACCAAGAGGGAGATTAAATTACAAAGACGAGTTGGGTCAGTTTAAATGAGAGGTTTAAGAACCCATCCGGTGGTAAAAACACTATACAAAACTGTATTTAAAAAGAAAAAATGCAGTTAAAAACCTTTTTACTCTCAGTGGTACCAGATTGCTTAACAAATAACACAATTTTATGATGTTTTCTTTAGCCTCATTTTAGCAAGTTAAAGTTTAATTTGTTCTTCCCCGATGATTCTGTTGGGCTTAGTGTTCACCGTTTTTAAGTCCAATCAAACAGAAGTGGCGTTACGTGCTGCAGGCCGTCCTCTCAGCTCAACAGTAAAGGAGACTGAGCTACAAAGTAAAGATCAACTAAATTCATTTTAAAAAACGAAATCTATAAAACAGCACATTTATACATGGGAACGTCACCATCATAAATACACTGCTGTTTGTGTAAAAAGTCAAACTGAGCAAAACTCAGGAGTGAAAGAATCACCATCAAATTGTACATCAGAATAAATTTGTTGGAACAAAATTTGTGTGTGTGTGTGTGTACGGAAAGCTACATTATTCAAGATAAAGTGACCCGGAAAAAAAAAAAAAACCACAAAATGCAACAATTCACATTGCTTGACAAATGCTGTCCAAGTTGCAGATTAGTTCAAACCAACTTACACAACTAAAAGTGCAACAGAAATAAAATTAAAGGCCCAGTTCTGACAGAATCTGGAGTCCAACTTCATCAAATCATCTCACATAAATTGCTACAAAAAACCTGATTCAGTGAAGTGGACATCAGAAAACTTTGAGTAACCATTAGGACTGCACAACTATGAAAAAAAAAAGGTTATATGGTTCAGTCTTGAGTTGCTTGTTTTGTTTTAAACATCTCTCTGACACAAAGTTAAACTTTAGGTATTCTCACATGTTCATAAACAAAATATTCAAAAGCATTTGGACGGTCCAGAAACTCAACATCTGTCTGCTCGACGTGAAATGCATTTTATCCTCAACGTTCTGAGCGAATTAAGAAGAGAAATAAACAATAGGCAGTTTAGATTGTGCAACATATTTGTTTGCTACATTTTTAGGTAATTTTCCTTTTAAAGGAAAATCTCCTTTTTCAAGCAGCCAGAAAACTCTACTTAAAAAAAGCCCCAAATCTTCAACAGTTGTGCAGCTGTTCTAAAACTATTGTTTTGTTTTGAGATCTATAAAATTACATTGCACAGCTTGAGGTCAGATCTCAGTGGAATGGATTCAAGATTTTTAAATTTGTTCGTTTCTGTCAGAACTGGACCATCAAACTGGGGAAGTATGAGCTGGAACCAACCCGTTCCCTGATTTAAAAAACAAACCTTTGTAAAAGAAGGCAAATTTATATCTTCTTATAAAGAAAAAGGGACTCGAGAAACAATTTAACATCAAAAAGGAAAAAAAACAGGCAGGGTTAGGAGAGACGGAAACAAAACAGGGACAAACAAAAAAATAATAAACAGAATTAGCAATCAGTTAGAAACATTCCTACTAAAAACTTATTGCATCATGTACATTATGTATAGACCTTATACTGGTGACCGAAACTTTTTGATGGAGCAAAGTCTAAATTAAAGACTTCAAATCTAAGGAAGAAGCTGCGATTTTCCCAAATGTGCCTGCTACAACCATCATCTTAACCCTAACCCTATAAGGTGCTTTAATAGAAGTCACATTTGGGCTTTAAGTTCATATTAATCTCACATTATAGACTTTATTCTTTGTATCTCCACCTGTGACTGCATATGAACACGTGTAAGAAGCACTTGTGTTCCCCTCGGTCATCCATTTAAATCACAATTTTAACTCAGAACGCTCCATGGGATAAAAGCTTTGATGCTATGGCAGGCCATGTTAACATAAAATCGACTTTGTCTGCTCATCTGTAATTAAATTCTAGTTATCTAAAAATGAGTTTTGACTAGGAACATCTACAGTTTGACTATCCTGAATGGTAATTTAAAGATATCTGTGTTTACATTCTGATTAGTCAGAAAAAACAATTGAAGATATCTTAAGAGGAATTTTGACAGATCAAAATGTAATTCAAGACAGCTGAAATGACGTCATCAGATTCGTCATTTGAAGGGTCTCACATTTGTAATTACAAATTAAGGTATCACAAAAGTGTTCCATAACTTGTCAAAATTAAAATTTTTAGACATCGGAATTCAGAAATTTCACATAAGCCCCACATGCTGCCACTTAATTTCCAAACATGCTGCCTGTAGCACTGTGTGTGGCTGCAATGACAGACGATAAATTATCAGTGTCTTCATTCATGTTGAGCTGTAGCTCTAAAAATCYTGTTAAAAACATGAGAATTTCAGTTGAACTGACCTGACATTGCAGACTGGGTAAGGGTAGTGGCTCAGTAAGGCTAAAATATCATAAATTTCTCACTAAAATGCTACATAAATATGTGACGTTTTGACTAGACAGAATTATTATTCCAGATATCTGAAATAGAAATGCCATCTAGTCATTATTTGATTTAAGATATCTTAAATTAGGATTAGGACTCATCAGAAATAAAGTGAGATATCTTGAATCTAAAGATATCTAGAAGTGTTTTTTTTTTTTTGTGATTAGTCAAAATTCCTTTTAAGACATCTTGAATTGGAGCCTCCATACAACTTACTGATAAATCTGACATCAATTATTCTATTCAAAATATAATAAGAGATAGCTGAAATTGGTATTGTGCCTAGTCAAAATATAATTAGAGATATCTTAATTAACCAATATGACGAGTCATAGATCAATTTCAGGAATCTGGAATGTAATTGTTGTGAATCCGATTTTATGTTAAAATGGCCTGCCGTACTGATTCCAATGTGACCAAATGTTGTCTGGGAGAAGTTAAAACACAACTGAATCAGGTCTACCAAAAATACAAAACAGACATTAACAAAAAAACCAAACAAACACAGACTAATCTCTGGAGGTTCATTATGTCAAAATAAAGATGTCAGTTTAAAAAAAGAAGAAGAAGAAGAAGACATTTGGCTACTTGTGGTCAAGTGCAATTTGTCTTGTGTGGCAAGGGGCAGGAGAGGCTGGTCTGAGGTCACTTAGTGGATGTGCTGCTGGCAGTGGATTTTCTCTTCGGCTTGYTCCAGAAGCTCCAGCATCTCCTGGATGATGGCCTGTAACGCGCGGCCCAGGCCTTCCCCGCTGTAAGGCTTTCCTAGAGGAGGCACGTGGATGAAGGCAGAGCGGCCTTGGCTCAGGTACAGAGACGTGTAGTAGGTGAAATCACACAGATACCTGCCAGAGAGGAGTTGTTTTTATTTTACCTTTTCCCATCACAAGTAGATAGACTTTTTTTTTAAGTTATAAACCTTTCTCAGACTTTCTGAAGGGATTTAAAAAGCACCATGACAGCATGTGTTTAAAAATGAAGGAAGTGGACAAAACAAGTGTCTCATCCAAAAAAGGGATAAAACTATCACCTCTCGATCACAGGCACACCTTCTCTAACCTCTGCACCACCACTCCCCCATCCTGTCCCACCATTTAAGAAAGAGGAAAATAAAATACAGTAAAGAACTGATGTCAGGACCTGAGAGACATATTTATGCAGCTGATCARCTGCTTTTTAAAAGGCCCTGTTTACACGACATTGATTTGGAGTGAAAACATAGTTTTTCTTACTTAAATGGGGCCTAAAATTTCAGCTGATAAATCTTTGGGTGGTGCTAAAATACATTTCCCTTTGTTTATAAAACTGTCTTTTCTTTAGTCTTTCATGGCTTCAGCTAAAATAAATAAAAAAATAAATAAAGTGTTTTTTGGTCACAAGGACACAGTCTACTGGTAAAAGTAGATCCAATTTAAAATAGTTTCTTTGCTGTTATTCTTAAAGGATGGATGGTTATTTAACATTGTGACATGTAACAATGGCTTTTTTTTTTTCATCTCAAGAAATAAATTTTGTTGTCCAGAAAAAAAAACCTCAAAGCTGATTTCAACACTGAACAAAGTTGAACAAACAAAATCGAATCACCTTCCTGCATCTTTAGAGACTGACACAGCCACTCGCAGCCCAGAAGCGGTCACTCTCTTGCAGACCGACTCCATGTCAATAACTGAGTTGATGCAGTCTGGGCCTCCCACAATGCAACACTGTGAGTCGGGACAGAAGCTGCTGTTGTCCAGGCACTTGTAGCCATGATTTCTGCCGCATTTCTCCAGCGTCACCGTGGTGGCCATACCTGAGACTCCGACATGAACTACCAACTGAGACAAAACAGGTAGAATTAATAAAACATCTTGTATTTATTCTGCTACTAGTTGTTAACCCTTAAAGGTATGACAGCTTCAACAAAACCCCAAAACGTTGTCATTTATGACAAAATAATTCATGTAATCTCACGATGTAATACAAGAAAACGCTTATAAAGAGCTTATTTCAAAGGTTCTGTTAACCTTTCTTTTTTTATGGATTCCTGTTTTTTTTACCATACCACTTTTATTTATAAAGTACTTTAAACAGCACAAGGCCAACCAAAGTGCAGTACAATAGACAGATACAGGACACAGTCAAAATACAGATAAAAATATGGAGCATTTATATTTACAGTACATATAGAACAGAATTATGATACACGGTGAGGTTTTGCACCATCTCACTCAGACTCAAGGCAGTAGTAGTGTGTTTTTAAGCGAGACTTGAAGACAGTGAGGGAGGAGGACTGTCTGACATGTAGTGGTGGATCATTCCACAGTTTTGGACCTGCTACAGAAAAGGATCTGTCACCTCTCAGTTTAAGACCAGAGTCAGGGACCTTCAGAAGCAGCTGACCAGATGATCTAAGGCTACGTTCACACTGCAGGCAAATCCGACCCAAATCCGATTTTTTTGACCCATCTGACTCATATCCGATTTTTTTACGACAGTCTGAACGAGACAAATCCGATTTTTTCTAATCCGACCCAGGCCGTTTCAGTATATGGTTTTAAATCGGATATTTATCTGATGTTTTCAAAGTGACTGCAGTGTGAACGCTCATGTCACATTCATCTGACTTTTTCATCAGGAGGAGGGGGTGAAGGATCGATAAGACACTAACCTCAAGTCTCGTTGTTTAAATCTGTAGCTCCATGTGTTTACAGCTCCAAAACACAAGTCCAGTTGCTTCATCTTTTTACTTTTCATTAGTATGATAATAACGATGTCRAGCCTGGGTCACGGAGAGTATCGATCCTAAAGTTAGCTACTCGGTCGATACTTTTTTTCCCAGCTCGTAGTTTCGTTAAAAAAAAAAAGCTTCACTGGAGCATCCCGGTCAGAGGCAGCTTCAGATATAAACACTGAACTAAAGAAGCAGGTCAGATAATTATTTAATCGGCTCTGATTAAACAACAACTTCCGATTCGATGTGCAAAATGTAGCATCCATGCTAGCTCTGTAAACAAACAAGCCGGCTGATGAGACGTCACGTCTTTTACTGCGCATGCGTGTCACATCAGTGCTGTGTAGCGTTCACACAGGAGTCTGATGCAGGTCACATTTAAAATGTAATGTGAACGTTCAACACAAAAAGATCGGATTTTTTAAAAAAAATCGGAACTGAGCATTAAGACCTGCAGTGTGAACGTAGCCTAAGAGAGCGCTGTGAGACAAGTGGATGCTCTAGACCTGAGAGGTAAGAGGGGGCGGAGTTGTTTAGGGATTTAAAGACATACAGGAGGATCTTAAAGTGAATTCTGAAATGAACCCGAAGCCAGTGAAAAGATGCTAGAACAGGAGTAATATGTTCCCTTTTCCTTGTGCCAGTTAGAAATTGGACTGCTGCATTCTGAACCATTTGTAAACGAGCAACGGAAGACTGGCCGATTCCATATAGCAGAACATTAATTTTTAATTAACTATTTTTTAAAACGCATTTAATTAAAATAATTAATTAATTAAATTAATTAATTTTATAAATCTAATTAAAAATATATAAAATGACTTAGGTGACTGGATTTTCCTCTTAAAAACTGTGTAAAGTGATTTATTTTCTTACCCGTGGATGATACTGTTTCCACAACGATGGAACCAAACTCTGAACTTTTTGGTACTCCACAGGAACTTCATATACATGTAGGTCCACATTACTGCCCAGTCCAAGTTTCTTCAGTTCCTGACAGAACAAACAGAAGCACCCATACTAAAACCCATTTGCAGTAAAAAAATAAAAATAAAAAAACAGCAGCAGAAGATGAAATTGCAGTAAATAATCATAAAAACTTCAAATTTATCCAGTTTTAAGACATCAGATTGTGTGACTCACAAAGCATTTTACACATCAGTGTTTTCTTTTATCTGTTTTTCTATGTAACTAATTCAGCATACTTTGTGTTATTTTAAGTGTTCATTAATTCAAAATGTTCAGTTCAATCATATCATGGGTGCTATGACTTTTAGTTTTTGTAACATTTACACTTTTTAAATTATTTGACTTTGTTTACAAACATATTCTCAATAGAAATGCATTGAGATCTCTTCAGTTTCTTCTAAAACATTTTTAATCAGCTCCAGAAAATCTGGCTCCATTTGAGTCTTCCTATGCTACTTTTTATAACACTCTACTACCTTTAGCTTACAGCTAGCTTTTTACTGCTGTTATCCTCTAGCTAGTCTATTACTCKTTTTAGCTTTCAGCTAGCCTTTTGCTGCTTTTACCTTTTAACTAGCTTATTAATACTTTTAGTTTCTAGATAGCCTATTACAGTTTAGTCAACATTTGCTCCTTCAGTTTAACCTAAACTTTTGCTCCTTTTAGCTAACTTTTTACTATTTTGTCTTTTAGCTAACTATAAGCTACTTTTATCATTTAACATTTTGCTGGTTTTAGAATTTAGCAAACATGTTGTTACTTTTAGCTATTTATTTGTCACTTTTAGCTTTTAGGTAGGCTTTTGCAAAATTCAGCTGAGCTACTTAACTAAACTTTTGCTACTTTTAGCTAGCTTATGCTACTTTTTGGCTTTTAGCAATTGTTCTGCCTTTTTTAAGTTTTAGCAAGTGCTTTGTTTTGTTAAGCCAGTAGCTGCTTTTATCTTCTGTTAAGCTTTTAGCGAGTGTTTCACTTAATAGTTGTTTTTTTC